TCTAGCCTGGATAACAAGAGCAAAACTCCATCTCAAAAAAAAAAAAAAAAATGATTCTCAACTAAACTGGCTTCATGCTATCTGGGGAGCAGATATTTACAACCATCTCTACCTCTTGCAGGCACTTTCAAGGTACCTTTGAATATTGCCAATATTGGAAGGCTATTTTCTATTGTTCTTCTTACCCATTTTGATGAATTTCTTGTGAGCCCTTCTGCAGCACCTAAGAACACACCATTCACCTCCAGTGCCTTGCTGTTGGGGTTTCCCCTACACCTCTTTGTGACCTTCTTGGGCCAGACCCAGGTTGAGTCCACGCTGGCTCTTCTCTTACCTGGCCTTCCTCTAATTCATCAGAAACACTGACACATCTCTTGTGTCAGCAAACTCTGCAAGCATCAATCAATCTTAGTGCATCTCCTCTACCCTGCTACCCTGCTGTCATGGTGTCTGTAGCTTGCTCAGCTGTGATTTGGACATCAGCTGTCTCTATTTCAATTTAGAGAGCTCTCAAAGATGAATTCTCACTGGGCTTGAAATGAAAGAGTAGCTCACATGAAGAGTTCACAACAGGAAGAAGAGTTATACACACACACACACACACACACACACACACACAATCTCTTTTTAAAAAATCCTTCCTCTCTTCACAGTCACAACTTCTATACAACCCAACCCTTTTTAAAACCTTCATCTGTCAGGAGAATCCAAGAATGGTTAGCACTGGCTCTCTGTCCTTTACTTTGTAAATTCTGCATGGCATAATCTGGCACTGGAATCCACCTTTATTTTACCTTGGTGGCTCACTGGAAACAGCTTGAAAATTTCGCAGATAATATATGGCTTGGAGATGTCGAGGCTCCTATGGAGAGATACTATTTGAAAAGACAGAGGCCAAACAGTTCAGAGACAGAAACAAAGGCCTGCCCTCTATCTGCCACCTTCTGGGGCCCTAGGTCTAGCCAAACTTGGAACTAGAATATCTCTATGACCTCTCATATGATCACCCTATTTAACCTCTGCTGATTTGCATTAGTTTTCTATTACTTTTGACTGGAAGGAGTCCTTAATGCCCCCATTCCTTTTCACCTAGCCTACGAGCCAGGTAGGCCAGACCTGTCTCTGACTTCTGAATTTACCTGGTGCTTTCCTCTCTCCACTCTTTTGTTTCAATGTTTCCTTTTAGGGAATACTCAATCCCTTCACCCCACTGCATGCAGTCCCTTATGCAGCAGAGGGGGAAAAAATTAACTACTTTCATGTTTGTACCTGAGTGGGAACTCACATGCACATACCAAGCAAAATAATGGGTTGATGATCGCCTTATAGGAATAGGGAAGGCCAATAGAGAATCTCAGTAGTAGCTGATTCTTTGTATAGCAAAAGAGCTTACCAGGCTGTTCTGTTAAAAGTTGAGGACACTAGCTGGGCGCAGTGGCTCATGCCTTTAATCCCAGCACTTTGGGAGGCTGAGGTAGGCGGATCACCTGAGGTCAGGAGTTCAAGACCATCCTGTATAACATGGTGAAACCCCTTCTCTACTAGAAACGCAAAATTAGCCGGGCGTGGTGGCGTGTGCCTGTAATATCAACTACTTGAGAGGCTGAGGCAGGAGAAGCACTTAAACTTGACAGGCGGAGGTTGCAGTGAGCTGAAATTGTGCCATTGCACTGCAGCCCGGGTGACAGAGTGAGACGTCATCTCAAACAAACAAAAAAAAGTTGAGGCCACCGAGTCTGGTTTGGGAGGAGAGTATTCAAACGTGAGAAACCAAACTGTTTTGCATTTAAAATGGGATAGGAATTGAGGAGTTGGGGCTGAGAAGTGGAGAAAAATGTTGAGTCAAAAGGAAGACGTTTCTGAAAGACAAGGGCAAGATGTAGCAGGAACTCCTAGTTCATCACCATTTATTCTCACCTTCCTTTGTAGTAAAGAAATTGGGATAAACAAGCCACCTTAAGGTTAGTTTGGTCTTATGACTAAATTCTCACTCAGGAAATGGGAGCAAAGTAGGGTGTCCCCGTCCTGAGCCGGAGCCAGAGACAGTAGGTATTCTCTTCCCCATTCACGCTGGCTGTAACCACTAGGGATTGCCAGCCTTGGCCATGCGAACAATGCAAGGCCCAGAGATCAGCAAAGCAACAACTCACTAACAACCAGGTCCCTGAATGATTATATGAAGCAGACCCAAAGGCTATCCTAGAAACCTTAATTCAGAATGCTGAATTAAGGTTTTTATTCAGCAGTCTGAATTAAGGTTTCCAGGATAGCCTTTGGGTCTACTTCATATCATCATTTTATTTGTGAAGGAGAAAGTTTTTTAGTTCTTTGAGTCATAACATCAGGAGATGTTTTATTGTTTATTACA